GTGGGAGGCCACCCAGGTAAGAAGATGAGGACAGAGTCCCAGGAAAGGCTATCACAGGAATCAGAAGGATGAAAACAATGAGGAAGCCGATGACCCGAGGTTCTGGGAAGAGCGCCAGGAGAGAGAGAGAGCCATAGAGGTTTCATTCCCGTCACCCAACTTCTCAACACCTGCCTCGAACTGGAAGTGGGGAGAAGATGCAGACATGTGTATCCTGACCAAGTGTGCTGGCTTTCATTATGCTAACAGCTTTATCAAAATGCTTCCTTCAAACCTCCTTATCAGGGTAAAGAAAAAATACCAACAATGTTTAACAGCTAGAATTAGAGTTTTCATTGTAGAAAAATTTTTTGGGTGGGGGAATACACTGCAACATGAAAGGTGGGTTCCTGCAGCTGACGACTGAAAGAGTTAAAAGGTTTGCATGCAGCATTAATGTAGACTTGCAGGTGGTGATATATACGGAACAGACGAGGTGGGTCACAAACATTGGTGAGAAATTCCCAGGCTATGGTGGCCAACAGCCACTGAAGGACAAAATTGTATGTTATTCATGCGTATTTCGTGTGTGCTGCTGGTATATAGATGCCTTTTCCTGTCCTGCACGCAGACCCTCTACTGGGCAAACACAATGCCCAGAATTTCTCTGGGGAATCGGGACCATTCCATGCAGGATGTTGTGGCACAGGAAAAGACTGCATGCACAGGTCAGTGTCAGGAACCAGAAGGTGACTGCAGCTGGAGCCACGGCTGAGAGCCGGAGAGACTGAGCTCCTTCTCCAACTGCTGCCCTCAAGGAGCACACAGAAAGCTTGGGGGGAGGCTAGACATGATGTGTACATCTGTGTCAGTTTACTGGCATTTGGAAGATGCTAATGGCCCCACCTAATGTCCACGTCTGCAAAGGAGAAGGTTACTGTCTGTGCCGTCATAGTAGGTAGTGTGCGAAGCTTCTCCCTTTGCGAGAAACACAAAGTGCTTGAGGCTTTGACCTCATTTCATGAGACAGTTTCTTCAAAGCAGAGGTATATAACACTCGAGATTATTGCCTCACTCTCAGAATCTTCTCTGAGGTTCTTAGCCAAATTTGATAGCAGAAAATGGAACAAATTCTGCAGTCACAGGCCCATTTTGAATCCAGCCTGCTAGTGAATGTGATGACCACGTCTGCACACTGATGCATGGCGGGTGTTTGGGGGAGCACATCCTGAAGTGTAATCTGACATTTACTGAGATGTCCTACATTCCTCAGCCTCCACCCTCACCCCTCAGGACTCAGCCCACATCACCCTTTTGCTTTATTTACTTATCTTGACGGGCTCGCTGAAGACGTATGAGCTTACAACTCCTGTTTTGGAGAATCCAGATGAATGAGGGAAACAGGTATTTGGTGACTCTGAGTAGTGGGGCCCACAGAGGCATGTGTCCCATCCTGCTTACTTGAGCAGTCAGAGCCATCTGAATGAGACTCAGTGTGTGCTCTCCACAGCTCTGGCTGCCGTTACGGAGCCTCCAAGAGAGATGGAATCCAGTGCTTAGTTTTGACCTCCTTCCAAATCTTGCAACAACAAAATAGGACACACAAGATGCAGTCTGTGCCCACAGAAACCCTCCCTGATTGTCCCGGCCCATGGGTGAGTCAATGTAGATGCTAGAGGGGGAATGGGGATGAGAAGAGACAAGAAACACGAAGAATGGAGACAAGACAGGATTCTGTTCAAGTCTCGTTTATTCAAGTATTGGGGGAGGAGGGAGTTGGGTTCTGAGACATCGGCAGATAACTTAGCAACAGTGGCAAGACAGAGGGTTATAGGTTAATTCAAATCTCCCACTCACCTGGACTCATAAGGCGGGCTGATTAACATAATCCCTGAATGGGCCAAACAGGCTAGGCAAGGAGCTGCTGCCTGTAGATACAAGGTGGTAGCCAGTTACAGAGCTTCCCACACCTGACGCCACCAGGCATTCTGAATGTCCCTCCTCAGTTGCACGAGGCTCCTCCTCAGCAAAGCCACTCTTGCCCTGCATCTTTGGTCTTCAAGACCCAGACAGACAGATCCCTAAATAGCTGAAAAGGGAAACTGTCTGATGATCACATCCACTTTCAAAGCACACCAGGTACTGATGTCAGAGGGGCTTCAGAAGTCCTCTAACAATGATTTTAATAGATTCTAGTTTTTAGAGAAACTTTAAATTTCACAGAAATTTGAGGAGGCAGATGCCGAGATTTCAATATATTCCGGTCTCCAAGCATGTATTGGCTCCCCATAACACATTCCCCACCAGAATGGTACCTTTGGATCACACTGTCAAAACATTACCCTCACAAAGATAGCATTTGCATTCTTCCTGGAATGGTTCTGAGATAACAAAACCAGTGTTGATATTAAGGACTGCCTGGGGTGGGGTGTTGAACTTTCAGGAGGATGGGCATCTCTAAATGTCAGAGCAATGCATGGACGCTCTTCCCCAAAGCCCCATCCAGACACACATGAAGCCTTGCATATCCATGTCTCACCTGCAGGTGTCTGATAGAAGCTTGGCTGTCTCCTCCATGATTATCCCTCAGTATTATGCAGAGGACCTGGTGCACACCACCATCCACTACTCAGACAGGAGATAGAGCGAGGATAGAGAGGAAAGAGGAAGAGGTTGATCCCACGGGGACCACGCCTGGTGGTTTGGGAAACCATCTTCAGTGCTCACCTGGGAGAGAGGTCTCGTGTCACCTCCCAAGTCCAGTAAAAGTGGACGACCTGTAATGGAAAAGCAGTTCTCAGTCTCTTCTGACCACCCACACAGCATGGTCCTGAAGCTGGGGTGGACCAAGCCCTGACCCAGAACTGATCGTTGGCACCGGTGCTCCCTGATTCCCCCTGGAGGCTGATCTGCCCTGAATGTCACGCATAGGTTAATACTGTTTGGTTGTCGTCAGGAACCAGACAATGCCAACATTACATGGGTTTTCACCACCGTGTGAAGAAAAATGACTAAAAACATTACTTCAGGAAGAAAATGAAATAAGTATTGATGACATTTAAATTAAATTCAGGGAGAGGTAGAAATGCCGATATATAAAAAATAAAAAATAAAAACAGCTGTAGAGGGAAGGACGGGGGAGCGGCACCCAGGATGGGGTCCTGCCATGCTCCTTTGTCCACCGCTCACAGAGCACTGGGCTTCCACGCAGCCGCAGAGCAGCCGCTCCTGACAGCCGTGATCCTGCCGATGCCAAGGACAGGCCGGTTTGGGCCTGTGCGAATGCTTCCCCATCTCTTCCCCGAGGATGGTCACTACAGCCTCCCTGTGGCCTCCTAATGCCCCCCAAGCAGGATTCCTCTGGCCTGGACACCAGCCCATCAACCCCTGTCCTCTCCCCGGGGCCACCCCCTCGGTCACCCCTTCCTCCAATCCTGTTCTTATCCCTGCCTTGAGGGCGAACCAAGTCAGGGATGAGAACCCACTTGGAAATGAGCTTTACCTCAGGCAAACACCAAGTTATTGTCACCAAAGAAATGCTATTAAGGTGCTCAGACCTCATCAGCAAGGCCCTAATAAACACTCGCTTCCCTGTCCTCATGGAAAACCCATCCACTGGCTGATGTACCCACAGAGTGGAACACAGCCTGGCTGCACAGCAGGGGGCTGTCACCTTCCAAGCGATGAGGGACAGGTATTTAGTGGTGCAGTCAGGTGCGGAGCTAACCTCCTGAGAAGCCAAAGCCTGCCATTCCAGAACCACTTCTGCAGGCAGCTGACACCTTGGTCTGCTGGAAATTCTGCCCCCAGGCACTAATTAGCCATGTTCTCTCATAGCAGCTGGATTTCCTCCCAGGTTCCAGACTGCTCACCTGGGAGGGACTTCGGGGAACAGCACTCAGGAGCCTGGGTGCTTCCAGGAAACAGAGCGGGGTATTCTGTGGCGATGCCAGCAGGGCACCCAATGCTGATGAGAGCTGAGAGAGAAAGAGGAAGAAAACAGAGGTTTCGGTGACACCGTTTTCATATCTGGAACCAAGGAAGGAGGAGAGGAGGCGTGTGAGGTTATGTGTAGGGGAAGAAAATCAGAAAAAGGAAAAGAAATATAAGCATGAAGTGGAGAATGTTTTCAATAGTTTGTATTTAGTTCACAAACTGGTAAAAATGTTAGAGGAACGCAGAGACAACCTTGATGAGGGAGAACCTGGCAGGTTCATGTAAGACACTCTGTAACCACACACTTGTGTGTTCACACTTACACAGCTGCAGACACACAGCCCACAGATACACTCTACAAGAGAAAGAAAGGAAAAACTAAAATGATAGAAAAATAAAAAATGATAACATTAGTGTTTGTATACCAGAAAAAGAGGGTGGAGGAAGCGATATATGAGGAGGTGTGAGGGGGTAAAAGGTGGGAGGGAGGGAATTTCTCTGGAAAGTGGGAGTCTAGGTGAGTTAGAGACCCAGCAGAGGAGCCACTGGGCAAACCCTGTGCATAGCCCTTGGTGTGGAAGAGCTCGTGTGCTGTGTCCAAGTGTCACAGGAGTGAAAGCATCACACACACATGTACATTCCTACATGTGAGCGTGCACTCCTTAGCACTCTCAAAAGGAAGTGTGTGCATGTGTGTGTGTGTGTGTGTGTGTGAGAGAGAGAGAGAGAGAGAGAGAGAGAGAGAGACAGAGACAGAGACAGACAGGCAGAGGCAGAGGCAGAGGCAGAGGGAATAAAACCCCAGCCTGATAGTCCTCCCTGCCAGGGTGTTTGTGCTGGAGTTGGAATTACTGCAGGCTGCCCTCTCACCTCCACTCAGACTGGGGTGGCCTTGTAGAGCTCAGCTTGGAGTGACTGAGCTCCTCTGTTCTGCGCCGTGTCTGGGAACCTGGGAAGTTCCTCAGGGCTTCATTTAGTTCCCTGTGATCAGATGTACAGGTCCCCTGGTTCCTCCCACACCCTAGAGCCAGAGTGAACTGCAGCCCCATCATACCACAGTGATATGTGTGCACCCCTGTTCACAGCAGCACAGTTTGCGGGAGCTGAGTCTTGGAAACGGCCCAAGTGCCCATCAACCAAAGAATGGATAAAGAAGATGTGATTTTTTTTCTGTACAACAGAGTACTACTCCGACATAAAGAAGGAGGAATTGAGGCATTTTGAGGTAAATGTGTACACCTGGGGCCATACCTTGAGGTGAAATATATTGGATACACGGATGTAAATATCACATCCTCATCCTCTGGTATGAGGAACCAAATGTGTAAATGAGGACAAAAATGTCTAAAGGATATTGGGAAATGGGAAGAAAATGTTCAAATAAGAAAGGGAACCAGGGAGGGTGAAGGGGGGAAGGAAAGAAAACCAAAAAAGTGGGGAAAAGAAGGATAAAATGGAAACAAAGCTTTTGTACATAAAGAGGGGAAGAAGGGTGCAAATGGAAAGTAAGGAAAAGGAGCAAAAATAAGAGTTAAGATAAATCACATACAGGTACAAATTCCCTATGAGAATGTGACCATTATGCATACCTCAAAAGCACCAATAAACAATGAATTTTTAAAAATCTTTCTTGAGAAAGGATTTCACTATGTAGTTCACACTGTACTCAAACTCACAGAGATCCTTGTGCCTCGGTCTCATGAGTGCTGGAATCACAGCCATCTGCCGCCACACCTGGATAATTATTTTTTTTTTATTTTAAAGGGATTAAGACAAAAGAGGACAGAACAAAGCAGATCAGAACAGAAAAATGTAAGCAACACAGTGCTTCACCACAAGACAACCCAATATTAACATAGCTACCTAATGTCTCTTTCTTTGAAATAGTTGAGCATACCTTCACACACAATAGTATCAAACATATCAATAGTACAAAACCATTCAAGAGAATGAAAGATTACAGGGCATTCAGAATCAAATAACAGAAAATGAACAATGGCTACTATATTATCTCCTTTTCCATAAAAATTTTGTTTATACTATCACACATATTAAAATCCAATAAGATACAACATGATAGAAACAATGGGAACAGAAGAACAAAAGCATGGTAAGACTTCAAAGCAAGATGATATTAAATCAGCAATGGCTACCATAATGTCTTATTTTCTTCAAAGTAGCTGTTCATATCACCACACATAATAAAATGAAACAAAACAGAATAAAACCATTCCAACTAATGAATGAAAACATTACAAGGCTTCAAAACAATATAATGGGGAATCATGATTACCATAAAATCTTATGTACTCTTACCATTTCTTACATTAGGGAGACTATACGGTATTTATACATGTGAGTTTTACTTACTTAGCTTATGAGTATGGTCTCAAGATGCGCCCATTGATTTATAAATATCTCAATGTGATCATTCTTTATAGATGAGTAGTACTCCATAGTATAAAAACACAACTCTTTTATCCATTCCTCAGCTGATGGACACTTAGGTTGTTTCAAAGATCTGGCTATTACAAATTGTGCTACTATAAACATGGGTGAGTACTATGGTATGATGTTTTCATTTCTTCTGGAAATATGCCTAGAAGTAGAATAGCTGGAACAAATGGGACTTGCACTCCAAGATTTTTGAGAAATCTATAGACTGACCTCCACAGTGGTTGCACCAGTCTACACCTGCACCAGTAGTGCAGGAGAGTTACTTTTTTCCCCACAGCCTCTCCAGCATTCGTTGTTAGTAGCTTTCTTGATCCTGGCCATTCTTTCAGGAGTGAGATGGAATCTCAGCGTGATTTTAATTTGCATTTCTCTAATGAGTAATGGTGAGGAACATTTTTTCATGTATTTATTTGCCATTTGTATTTCTTCATCTGAGAATTGTGTGTTCATTTCAGATGCCGATTTTTGGACTGGGTCTTTGAATTTCAAGAGTCTGATTTTTTTTTAATTCTTTACATGTTCTAGACAGGAGTCCTTTGTCTGAGGGACAGTTCACTAAGATTTTTTCGCAGTTTGTGGGATTTCTTTTCACTATAGTGGAGATTTCTTTCGACATACAGAAACTCTTTTAATAATATGTGATCCCAGTTATTGATTCTGAGAAGTATTTACTGTGAAGTTTGATTCCTGTTCATGACTTCTCTACCTGCCCCTATGTCTTCAAGATTTTTACCCAATTTGTCTTCCAACAGATTTAGCGTTTCTGTTTTAATATTTAGATCTTTGATGCACTTAGATTTTAGTTTAGTACATGGTGATAGACATGGGTCTAGTTTTAGTTTTCGGCATATGTGACCTTTTTTTTCCAGCACCATTTATTAAAGAGACTTACTATTCTTCCAGTGAACATGTTTGGCCCCTTTATCAAAGATAAGATATTTGAGTGTGTTTGTAGTTGTGGTTGTATCTTCTAATCTACTCCATTGATCTTCAGATCTGTTTTTATTCCAGTAACATGTTGATTTTATGAAAGTAACTTTGTAGTATAACTTCAAGTCAGGATTGTGATACTTCCTGCCTTGCCTTTGCTGCTTAGAATTGCCTTTGCTACTCTAGGTATCTTCCAGTTCCAGATGAATTTTCGAAGTGCTTTCTCTACATCTATGAGGTATGTTGATGGTATTTTCATTGGGATTGCATTGAATCTGTATAACATTTTTGGGAGAGTGACCATTTTCACAATATTTATACTTCCTATCCATGAACAAAGGATGTCTTTTCATTTTCTGAGATCCTCTTTAATTAATTTTTCAGTGTATTACAATTTTCCCTGCATAGATCTTTTATTTCTTTCATGAGACTAATTTCTTTTTTTAATTTTATTTAAAAGGAAAAAGAAAAAGCAGAACAAAACAAAGCAGTGTAAGGGTACAAGTAATACAGAACTACAAAAAAAAAACAGTAAGAAATCACCAGTTAATAGATTACATATTATCATCTTAGAGATAGTTGCTAAAAATCACAGTATCAAAGCATACAAAGTGGACATTCAAACAGTGAGACTGCAAACAGTTGTGTTCAATGATCCAACCAAAAACATTAATATGGTCAGCTATTTAACACCCCTAAACACACTTGCTGTTGTTTCCTTTAGAGCACTTTTTTTCCCTCTCTTTTTTACAACAAAATCTACACATTTTGGGTTTTATTACTCCTTAGTTCTTATTACTTTTTTGGGGGGGGAGAATAAAGTCAAATATGGCAAAATAAAGCTGTCAGGCAAAACCAAGGAAAGACATAGCACACGATGTAAAACAGAGTACAACATTATCAACAATGGTTATCAACAATGTCTATTGTTTCCTTAAAAAGAATTGTCTATCTCATTAGATATTATAAAGTTGAACAAAACAGTAGAGAACAAGACCAATAAAACTTAAGCATTGTAAACATTACAGGACTTCCAAAGGACACAATAGTCAAACCAGAATGGGCATCTTAGTGAATCTTATTGCCTTCAGAGTAGTTGCCTATACACTCAAACTTGATACTATCATACAGAATGGAACAGAGTCTAATCAGTCAAAACAAGATAGTGAGAGTATTACAGGATTTCAAAACAAGTTAATAGGAAATCAGAAAAAGTTACTATTATATATCCTGCTAGTTTTTTAAATTTTTCCCCTTAATTAAAAAAAAATGATAAAAATAACTAAATATTTTTTTTAAAGAATAAGGGAGAGATTGAGATAAAACAGGGCATAACAATATAACAATGCAGGTCAAAGCATGACTGTTTCAGCAACCTAGTGCTTCACCACCAAATAACCTGACTTATTAGTAGTTACCGTAGTGTCTGTCTTTTTCCTTGAAATATGTGAATAAAACTTCATATACTATAGCTTCAAATATTTCCATATCAAGAAACCCAGAATAAAGCCTTTCCAATTAATAAGTGAAAACTTTATGAGGCTTCAAGGCCACATAATGGGGAATCAGGATTACCACATATTTTTATATATTTGAATCATTACTTACATTAGGGAAACTATTCGGTATTCACACATGCGAGATTGATTTATTTCACTTATGAGTATGGTCTCAAGCTGCGCCCATTTATTGATAAATATCTCAATGTGATCCTTCTTTATAGCTGAATAATACTCCATTGTATAGAAATACCACAACTTTTTTATCCATTCCTCAGTTGATGGACACTTGGGTTGTTCCAAGATCTGGCAATTACAAATTGTACTGCTATAAACATAGGTGAACATATATCACTGTGGTATGATGCTTTCAGTTCTTCTGGGAATATGCCTAGAAGTGGAATAGCTGGAATAAATGGGACTTCCAATCCCAGCTTTTTGAGAAATCTCCAGACTGACCTCCACAAAGGCTGCACCAGTCCACAATCCCACCAACAGTGTAGGAGAGTTCCTTTTTCCCCACAGCCTGTCCAGCATTTGTTGTTGTTGGTTTTCTTGATCCTGGCCATTCTTTCAGGAGTGAGATGTTATCACAGTGTGGTTTTAATTTGCATTTCTCTAATGACCAATGATGATGAACATTTTTTCATGTATTTATTTGCCATTTGTATTTCTTCATCTGAGAAGTGCATATTCATCTCAGATGCCAATTTTTGGATTGGATCTTTGAATTTTGGGGGTCTGAGTTTTTTTAATTCTTTATATGTTTTAGACAAGAGTCCCTTGTCTGAGAGAGTTCACTAAACTCTTTTCCCAGTTTGTGGGTTTTCTTTTCACTATGCTGGTGATTTCTTTTGACATGCAGAAACTTTTAAATAAGAAGTGGTCCCAGTTATTGATGCTGGGAAGTATTTCCTGTGCGGTTTGAGTCCTGTTCATGAATTCTCTACCTACTCCTATGTCTTCAAGGTTTCTACCCAATTTGCCTTCCAATAGTTTTAGTGTTTCTGTTTTAATATTTAATATTTAATAATCCCATTTAGATTTTAATTTAGTACATGGTGATAGACATGGGTCTAGTTTTAGTTTTCGACAAATGGGGAGGAGTTTTTCCAGCACCATTTATTAAAGAGACTGTCGTTCTTCCAGTGAACTGCTCATTTATCAAAGATAAAGTGGTTGAGTGTGTTTGTAGTTGTGGTTGTATCTTCTAATCTATTCCATTCATCTTCAGCTCTGTTTTGATTCCAATACCATGTTGATTTTACTACTGTTGCTTTGCAGTATAACTTCAAGTCAGGGATTGTGATGCCTCCTGCTTTGTCTTTGCTGCTTGGAATTGCCTTTGCTATTCTAGGTCTCTTCTGGTTCCAGATGAATTTTAGGAGTGATTTCTCTAGATTTATAAGGTATGTTGATGGTATTTTTACTAGGATTGCATTGAATCTGTATAACAGTTTTGGGAGAATGGCCATTTTCACAATGTTTGTTCTTCCTATCCATGAGCAAGGGATGTCTTTCCATTTTCTGAGATCATCTTCAATTTCTTTTTTCAGTGTATTATAATTTTCACTGTATAGGTCTTTCACTTCTTTCGTAAGAGTAATTCCTAAATATTTCATTTTTTTGCTTGCTAATGTGAATAGTACAGTTTCTCTTATTTCCCTCTCTGTGATTTTGTTGTTCGTGTATAGGAATGCTATTGATTTCTGAGTATTGATTTTCTTTCCAGCCACACTACTGAATTTATTTATTGTATCTAAGAGTCTTTCAATGGAGTTTAGGGGGTCTTCTATGTAGAGTATCATGTCATCTGCAAACAATGCTAATTTAACTTCTTCTTTTCCTATCTTTACCCCTTTTATTTCTCTCTCTTGCCTAATTGCTCTGGCTAGTACTTCCAGTACTATATTAAATAGGAGTGGTGATAAAGGACATCCTTGTCTTGTGCCCGATTTTAAAGTAAAGGCTTTCAATTTTTGGCCATTTAGTATGATGCTGGCTGTTGGTTTGTCATAAATGGCCTTTATTATATTGAGGTAAAGACCATCTATTCCAATTTTCTGTAAAGTTCTTATCATGAATAAATGTTGGACCTTATCGAAGGCTTTTTCTACATCTATAGAAATGATCATGTGATTCTTACTTTTGGCTCTATTGATATGGTGGATTACATTTATTGATTTATGTATGTTGAACCATCCTTGCATTCCGGGAATGAATCCCACTTGGTCATGGTGTATAATCTTCTTGATGACTTGCTGCATCCTATTTGCCAATAGTTTATTGAGGATTTTTGCATCTGTGTTCATTAGGGAGATCGGTCTATAGTTCTCTTTTTTAGTTGGGTCTTTCTCAGGTTTTGGTACTAGAGTAATATTTGCTTCCAGGAATGTCTTAGGAAGGATTGCTTCCCTTTCAATTTCACTGAATAGTATGAGGAGTGTCAGCATTATGTCTTCTTTGTATTTCTTGTAGAATTCCGCAGTGAATCCATCTGGGCCTGGGCTCTTCTTTGTAGGTAAGGACTTAATTACATTTTCAATTTCATTAACAGAGATTGGGTTATTCAACAGTTTTACCTCCTCTTGATCTAGCTATGGTACTTCATATGCTTCTAAGAATCTGTCTATTTCTTCTGTGTTATCAAACTTTTGAGAGTAGAGGTTTTCGAAATAGGTGTTGATGATCTTCTGTATTTCTATTGGGTCTGTAGTGATTTCACCTTTTTCATTTCTTATTGCATGAACTTGAGCTTTTTCTTCCCTTTTTAAAAAAAAGTTGGCTAGGGGCTTAGCGATTTTATTTATTCTTTCAAAGAACCAACTCTTTGATTTGTTGATTCTTTGGATTGTTTTCTTAGTCTCTATTGCATTGATTTCTGCTCTGATTTTTATAATTTCCTCTCTTCTTTTGGCTTTGGGCTTGCCTTGCTCTTCTTTTTCTAGCTGTTTGAGGTGTAGCATCAAGTTATTTATTTGTATTCATTCTGTTTTCCTGATGTGGGAACTCAGTGCAATAAATTTCCCTCTGAGGACGGCTTTCATTGCATCCCACAAATTCCCGTAAGTTGTATCTGCATTTTCATTTTCTTTTAGGTATAGTTCAATTTTTTCTTTAATTTCTTCTGTGACCCACTGATTACTCAAGAGTGTGTTATTCAGTTTCCATGTTTTTGCGGGATTTTTGCAGTATCTTTTATCATTAATTTCTGATTTCAGAGCGCTATGATCTGATAACATGCAAGGGATGATTTCAACTTTTTGCATTTGTTTAAATATGTTCTGTGAGCTAATATATGTAGAGAATGATCCATGTACTGCTGAGAAGAATGTGTATTCTGATGTTGTTGGGTGGAACATTCTGTATATGTCTACCAAATGCATTTGTTTGCAGGTGTGATTCAGTTCTGTTATTTCTTTGCTCATTTTCTGTCTTGTTGATATGTCTCTTGGTCTCAATGGCGTTTTAAGGTCTGTTACAGTTGTGTTACTGACAATTTGAGTTTTCATTTCTGTTAATAGTTGTTTTATATAACTGGGTGCTCTGGAGTTTGGTGCATATATATTTAAGATAGTTATCTCTTCCTCTTGGAGTTTTCCCCTTACGAGTATGTAGTGACCTTCTTTGTCCTTTATGATCATTGTTGGTTTAAAGTTCACATTGTCTGCAAACAGAATGGCTACTCCTGCCTTTTTTGTGGTTTCCTGCTGCATGAAGTATTGTTTTCCATCCTTTA